TCTGGTCCAAACTCTTATAGTTAAATCATCACCACCACTGGCTACCAATTCACTGCTATTGGAGAAAGTGCAGGCACGCACACCACATGAGAACGTACGTTTCCTGTCATGTCCCTCATATATCAAAGATGGTTCATATTTTTCCATGTTCCACACACATACCTGAAATTAGAGAATATATAATCCATTATTTCATTCCTGGTGTGAAGAAACAATATTTACATTTGTTAGCGATAAAAGCACTAGTGAGTAACATGCTGTAGAATACTTAATTTTCGTAAAAAATATTTTTTAGTTATTTTGTATAACATTTATTTTGATGAGTTGAATGTAAAACATAGGAAAATGGTATTTTCACTGATTCATCCCTTCAGCGAAAATAAACCCCAAATGAAAATAATATTTGTCATCTTTCAGGCAGATTAGATTCAACAACTTATATTCATGACGTGTTGCTGGATTAAATTGTATTGTTTTCAAATGTCAGGAAATTAGCATAAATAGAACATGATAGCACAGGGGGTTACAATGAATGCTCCCAAAATATAAATTAAAACTATATTTTGTATAACTACTACTATTACGACTACTTGGCAAACATGATACAAGGGGCGTGTCAGTAGTTGCTATGCTTTACTGAAATTAGCTGTGATAAACTGATAAACTGATAACAAGCTGTGTAAAAGATAAAGTTGTATTCATAGTTGGCCTTGTATGGAAATAAAACTGCCTGTGAAAATTGCCCTCTAAAACATAACTGAATTGTACCCATTCATTTGAATTTAATAAAATATATGGAATACAAACCTTGAAGTCGTCAGATGAGGATGCCAACCATTTTCCATCAGGTGAATAGGACACACTCCAACATCTCTCTGAGTGAAATCGCAATCGGGTTAATTTCTCTGCTGCAGCAGCATCCCAAATTCTGATTGATTTATCTTGTGATACAGATGCGATCAGCTTAGAATCTGGTGACATGGTGACATCCATCACCCACCCGGAATGACCACCTAATAAAGCCAGGTTTTCTTTCTTTATGATATTATACAGATGGACTGACATGTGACTTGACGAGCTCGCCACCAGTAACTGGTCATCAGGTGAAAATGCAACTGATGAAGCATCATTGGGTAGACGGAATCTTGCCATTTGGTCACCAGTGATAGCATTGTAAACTATGGCACTTGAGTCGACAGCTGCAGACGCTAACATCTTACCATTATGAGAAAATCGGACACACCAGATTGCGGATTTATAGTCAAGGATTTTATGCCCTTCCAAGCGATCTGAAGCAGGGAAATTGACGTTGTCTTTGATTTTATGACCTACCAGTGTAAGCATGGTTGACCGTTTCTTCACATCCCAAATATACAGCTCCAGGTTATCTCCACAAGATGCCACTTTATTATCATCGATCGGGGACCAATCACAAAAAATCACATGACCTTCATGACCAATAAGCTCGCTCTTCATATGACCTGATGCAACATCCCAAATTTTTAATTTTTTGTCCAGTGATGATGATATTAATTTCTTACCATCAGGTGAGTATGAGATGCAGTTGATCCACATCTTGTGGGCATTTTCAATCACACGTCTCTGTTGGTATGTCTTTGGGTCCCACAAATGGATGCTTAAATCACCAGAACTTGTAGCAACATCTTCTTCTGTTGGAGAAAACCTGACACATGTGACTGCACCATTATGACCTTCGAGTTGACCTTTTAAATCACCTGTGTGTCTATTCCATACTCGAACAGTTTTGTCTACAGAGGCTGAATAAATTGAATTGCCATCTTTGGAAAATGAGACAGAGAGAACAGTGTTTTGATGACCACTTAGCTGCTGTTTGTAAGCTTCGCATTCAGAGGGTTTATTCATATATTCAATCCATCCTGTTGGCTTTGTTATGTACGGCTCCACATCAGCAGTGAATTGCTCTTTCAATTTAGTTGCTGCCTTCTCTGGAGCTGTGCCCTTTGGGGCATTCTGGGTTTGTTGGTAGACTAACAGCGGAGTTTTGCTGATGATATAAGTTTCTCTTCTCAGAAATTCTAGCATTTCTTCTAGATCTTTAACAATTCCTAGATCCAGCTGCTTGACATCTTCATTCAACCTGCGAACTTCAGCAACTGCTCTGGTGCATTCAGACAGTAAGTCATAAGCCATGTCAGCCATGCACTTAGCTTGTACGAACTTTAAATTGCATATCACGTCACGCAACTTGTCGAATTCTTGAGCTGCGATGTGATTTGATAACAATTGACTTATTTTGCGGATATTCAATGATTCCTTGCTATATGCCAATGGCTGGGCTCTAATGCTTCGATTCTTAAACTCATTGTGGAAACTTCCAGAAAAATATCTTGCAATCTTAGAGTGAGTCTCTTTCCATGCATCTCCGGAAAGGTAACGACGTTGAGCCACTTCCCAGAACTGCCGATGATACAGTGACACCAGAATTGAACCTTGTGAACCTCTCTCCACCAAGAAACTTCCCAAATCGTGACGTAAGCGTGCAAGTAGCAATGGGGGGAGACGTTTCTGAGGTGGTTCGTGCCAAACAAGAACATCATCGAGTAACTCATCGTCACAGCTGAGAATATCGAGGAACTCATCTGGATTGATCCCTTCAACTGATGCAGATATCAAACCCAACACTCGGCTTACTAACAATTTACCATGGTATCGTTCC